ACTCCAGAGTTTGCTGTAATCGATTCTAAACTCCAAGGTAGGCTCTGAAAGTTTTTTGGCTATAATTTTGGGAGAATGATGATTGTCTCTAAAGGATAATAGTGGGCAGCATTCAGTGTTGCAGGCAGCCAGTTGGCTTTTCAGCTTTAACTGCTTGGGCTGTTGTGTGGTGCTCTGGGAGTAATGCCCACATTTTGCTTGCCAGACCAAGGTGCAGATTTTTCATGTCCTTCCTTCCAACTCTCAGACCACTTGTGTTATCCAATCAGGTGAACAAGAAATGGGAATGGGCGTGTACCAATAATTAAGGTAGTTACCAACATCTGTTTGCCCATTTTCCATTGTAACAGAGTTAATACTGAATCGTATAACTGCCAAATGACTGGATTTGCCATGCCCTCGTTGTAGTTAGGTGTCTGAAGTAAGTTCTGTCTTGTGGAATTTGAAAAGGAAGTACTGCTCTAGACTGTGACTCTTAGACATTAGAGGTACTCTCTTATCCCTTCCCAAGAGAGGTAGCAACGCAGTGTAACATTGTTCTTTTTTTTTCTTTGTGGATTCATAATATGGAAGGAACCTGGATCATTCCATGACTACATGGAGTACTGAACTGTTAATGAGAGCAGAATAAACATTTTTATTCTTTAAGACACATTATTATTTGGTTTCCTATTAAAACAGCTCATGTTTTACTCAGACTCACTGTTCATTTTTGTCAAATTACATCCAAAAGTTAGTTTGACTGAAGTTGGCCCTGAGCAGGCTGCATTTTTGTTGTACTGATTGATCTTGGGGTAATGAGGGCTGATTGATTGTATAAAAGGCTTTGCCAATCCAGAGTTGTCAGTTTCAAGCTATGTTTAAATGACAAGTGACGTATGATTGTTACAATCTAGTGTACATTTATATAACAGGAAGAACAGCCTGTTTCTATATCATACTGTTTTTTGAACTCTTTTCCCGGATTGATGGTGTTCTAATGCTAGATTATTATCACTAAAATGGTCTTAGGTTTTTAAAGGGTTTTTTTGCCCATTAACTAAAAGAAAACTTGCTGTTACTTCTGTAAAGTAAAATATAGCATGCCATATTGGATGTTGCTTCAAATGCATTTATTTCAGGTTTAATATACTATTTTATAGAATTCTGAGAAGCATCATATTTTTCTTATTGCACTATCTGAACAAGGTTAGAATCACCATTCTGGTGTTTCATAACTAACAAAGTACGTTCATATGGAATTCTTTAACAATTAAGATTTTTCTCCCCCAGTGCTGGGGATCAAACTCAGGACCAATGAGGATTTTGGTCTTAAGGACTACAGAAGTTATGACCTCCCAGGTCTATATAGCAAGTGGCCAGTGTCTTACGTAGAGTTTCCAGTCTAAGTTTAGTGTTTTTAAAGAAGAAAAAGCTTAGTGGTCATTCAGAGTTAGGTTCAAATCTTGCCTTCAGCACAAACTAGCTATTTGAGATATGTGAAGTTCATATGTAATATAATTATAATGGGCTATGTATAAAACTAATAACTTTACAAAAAACAAAGTCCTAGTTCAGTATATTCTACTGGTTTTTCACTTTATCCTCACTCGTTACTAACTTCCATATTGGTTCCTATGACCTTGGAGCTACTTCAGGAAACACATTTGGGCATGCAGCCCCAAACAGCCCAGGACTCACAATCTATAACTGCTGCATCAGGATTCATGGTGAAGTTTGAGAATTCATTTCAGTGGAATAAACCTGGTAATTAAATGTGTAGGATTCAGGATTCATTTAATATGATTAACACCTTTTGATCTTTGCTTCCATGTTCAGAGATTCAAGACTAATACTGTTGCCAAAAGCAGCCCGCTTTCTTTCTTTTTCTCTTGGTAATTGGAGAGAAATGGCATGGAGAAAATTACTTTATTCTCATACTCTATCCAGCTTCCAAACTGTCTACTTAATAGAGATAAGACCAACCTTAAGCATATGCACTGAAAGGGATATAACCATGCTTGAATTTTTTTTCTTTTATTTGTTTTTATTTTTATGTGGTGCTGAAGATTGAACAGTGCCTCACACATGCTAGGCAAGCACTCTGCTACTGACTACAGCCCCAGTCCCCATGCCTGAATTTCTATTTCTTTCTTTATTTTTTAGTTTTCGGTGGACACAACATCCTTGTTTGTATGTGGTGCTGAGGATCGAACCCAGGCCGCACGCATGCCAGGCGAGCGCGCTACCGCTTGAGCCACATCCCCAGCCCCTCTATTTCATTATTTAGATTATCCTGTTACTCAGAATCTCAAGTATTAATTACACACACACACACACACACACACACACACACACACACACACACACACCCAACCCTCTTAAAACTCCCAGCTCCCTTAAGCTATGGTCTTGGTGATAGAAGAAGGGGTGGGGATCATTCTTTCAGAGATCCTTGTCAGACAAACATGTTGGTAAATGAAGAGTCAGAAAAGGAAAGACACATTATACTGAGAAGATTCTTCAGACCAATAATATAATAAATTTAATCTCCACAGAAGTCTAAAGCTGGAAAGAAACCTTTGAGTTGGTCTAACACTCTCATATTACAGTATGAACACCGTCAGAACCTTAATGAGAGGTAAGTTTCCTAACTCATCTCTCCTGACTCCTGCAGTTCAGTGTTTTGCATCACTCTGCAAGATCAATTTTGTGGTGAGTGGATTTAGATTAGTAGCCACCAAGCAACATCACTTGCTTGATTCAGTTACCTAAAAATGCTGAAATCACTAGTATTAAGGCAACTAATTTTTATTCTTAATGGTACTGTCCACTTTGGAATAAAATGCATTCAGGGAGTGGGTTGCAAGTTACTTCAAAAGTTGACATGGCATAACAGCATACGTATGTAAATGTAAAGCAATAGAGATGCAAAATTTTCTTTCAGAAAGAAATATTATGGCTAAAATTGATCCCTGAAAGTTATACTTGGCCAGCTAGATGGATCTGTTCAAACAGAGTAAGTTGTTTCTAATCCTGTGACTAAATCTATACAATATACCCAGTATCCTACTTTTCTTCCACATTCTGAAAAGCTTCCATTTTATGCTTCCAGTTGCAAAATTCAGTTATTCCTGCTCCTTGGTACAGTTTGCCTAGAAGCCTTTCTAATATGTTTGGAGTTTACAAAAAAAAAAAACCCCAAAACTATGTTTTCTGCACACCTCTATACAAGCATTCCAGTGAATGACTAGATAATCTAGGCAATTAGTGATCTTGTCATTAAAAAGAATTTATCATAATTGTTTGACTAGCATTGAATTGATAATGAAGCTCTTAAGGTGTTTTTAAAGATCCCAATAATTTTTCTTCTTTGTGTATCTAAAAAAAGGACACATGTATTTCTATAAAGAGTTATTAGTAGTTTTGCCTTCCTAGACAGCTCTAAGCATAAAGGAGTCTGCTTTCGACCCCTGAATTTATGACCCAGAGGTTAGAAACTGCAATGCCATGCTCATTCTGTTCAGCAGTGTTTCAAAAATGTTTTGAGTTGGTTGTTAGCATTTAAAAGCTGGGAAAGTTCCCAAAACTTCAGATTCTTGGCTTCTCTTGAAAAAGTGGATGGTCTAACAACACTGGTTCTTTCCAGTGGTTGTCAAGAGTCCACTGGAGATCTAGCAGTCTTGGGTATGCATTCTAATTTCATCATCATTTTAACGTCCATGTTTGGTAGCCAAAGCAAGAGGATTGGGTAGCAAATGACTTCTCCTTTCACTTCTGGCACTTTTGATTGAACTCAGGGCCTAAAGAACAAGCAGAGTGCAGAGAATAGCATGTGCTTACCTATAAGGAATCATTTTCTTTTAATGAGAGTAGAAAGGAGTTCCTATGGACTTTGTGTCTTTCCAGGACCGGCAGTGGTGTTCTGCAGTAACTGCTCTGAAGTGAGGAAAATGCAACCCTTGGGGTTCTGATTCCCCATGTGTGATCACAGGCAGAACTTTAACACTCAATATTTGTCTTGGATCAAGTTTCAGAATTCAGTGACTGACCAAGATACTTTTAAGTTCCGGTTAACTTGATCTACTCACACCTTTTAGCAACTACATGCTATACTTTTTTTACAGAATTGCAAGGCAGTTGCTTTCCTTTCTGCCTTTGTAGACTGTCTTCTGCTTTACTAATACAGATTTAAAAATATGAAGGTTACATTATCATTGTGAATAAATATTTATTTCCTAAAACCCTTGGAAATCTATATAACCCTTACAATAAGGAAATGAAAAGAATGACTAGGGTGATTGTTGACAGATTTAACAAAAGTAACTAATCTGTTAAGAATGAACTTGAAAACTACTGAGGGCGGCACCTTCAGCTCATACCTGCATGTCTTCAGGCTACACACCATCAGCTGAATGTAACATATTGCATAAGGGGTTCCTAAAAGGATGCTTGCTACAGAGTAGGTTCTAAAAATTTCTTCAAAACCAAGAATTCTGCTAATATATTATGTGAGGTTGTGATCAGATAATACATTATGTAAGTGTAAATCAGCAGTTTCTTTTAGAGGAAAATTGGCAGTATCAAAGTTTTAAATATACATAACCTCCATCCTGGTCATTATGCTACTCCCAAGTTATGTGCACACATATGCCACTGCAGGGTAAGGTAGGTTTGAGGCAATTCAAGTACCTCACCAAAGGACAGGTTAAATAATGACATATCTAAAGTTAGAATATTCAGCAGCCACTGAAAGAATGAGGTAGACCTGTGTGTACTACAAAACAAAAAGCAAGTCAGTTGTGTATGGTTTTTTACTTTGAACACAGGGCCTGGCACATGTTATGTATGTGTTCTCCCACTAGATACACTCCTATCCCCAACTAGCATTTTAAAGAGAGACACATAAATGTGCTTTGAACATTGAAGGGATCCACTAGAACTGGGTAATAGTGGTTACTTGGGATGAGGAATGGGAAGAAGCTTATCTTTTGTCCTGTTTGAAGTCTTTTTTTTTTTTTTTTTCAAATGGAGTAGTAAAGTGTTCTCCTCCCATTGGTGCTTTTCTGAAGGAAGTCTTTAAGGCCTAGATACAAAGCCTTGCCCTATCCAGCGAGGAGACAGGGAGGCTGTTTGCCCACTGGTTTACCTATTGGATTGTATCTGGCCTCCTCAAAACTTCATAGCTTTTCCCTGGTCTGATAAATATGGAAACATATGTTTTGGTGTCCCAAGTCTTATCTCCTACCTGCTAATGAGGACATGTGGACATGCATAAGTAAAATGGAGGTCTATTCATGGTAGAAGGACTGCAGAATAAGACAAATTGGAACACAGGACCAAAGAAGAAGTTAACTGGATGTTTATAAAGACTTGTATTCAGAAAGGTAGTTTGTTATTTATTAAGCATTTATTAAATACCTCCCTAAAAGGCCCCAGATGCCACCAAGACCTTTAATTAGACTGAGATATATATGCAAGAATGGCACATATCAAAATATCCGCTCATTAGTTCAAACCCAACATAATTTTTCCTTGAACTAGAACCTCATATGAACTTGAAGTACTCAGTGTCACAGCATCCTCTAAAGATTTTAAAAGAAAAATAACTAGAAGTCCCAGTTTTCAAAATTGCTTTCAAAGGCCAACAAGTTAGCTGGAGGGGAAGAAAAAAAGGAGTCACCTCTCTTCAAATAACAAATCTACAAAGACCTCTTCCAGAAAAAGCAGATCCTTGTAGTTCTAGACTCTTCTCATGAGATAATCATCACCTTGCCAAGAATGGGAAAGACACCCTACCTGACCCCCAGGGAAAAACATTCACCCAGACAGCATCTACTTGTTTTTACCATATATTCCAGGGGTATGTGTGGGTTTTTGTTTGTTTATACATTTATACAGTTTACATTGCTTGACCCATAAATAACACTCGTAAGATTAATAGGGCCATAGTTTTAAAGAGTATTTACATAGCCCCACCATGCATACAGAGCCTTTTTAATATTGAAAATCAAAAAAATTAAACTTTCCATCACTAGGCAATATAAATTTAACCATCTAAAACTTATAAACCCTGACTAAAATACAAGCAATCATTTCATCCATAAATGCTATTTCTGGTTCCCTAATAAATCTAGCACTGCAGTGTAACAAACATCTTGCAATTCAGGGATATAAAAATATCAGCTTTAAAATCTGAACTGTACAGTATATACATTAATATTTGCACCGTTAAATTAGGAATACACTTACGTCTATGAAATACTACATTATAAATAGCAATTTTCTTTTTCAATCTGGAGCTGGAGCTAATACAATACAATGTTTACCTGGCTAATAAGGGCTGAAAGGGGACAAGTTGGCCTCACACAATAGGATGCACAGTATTAGCTAGGTCACTGTGACAAGTGCATGCCTCACAACAAGACAGACTGGTCAGGACCTGAGCCAACCTGACGTACATAAAGACAAACACTATTGCTTTACAAAGGTGGCTGGAGTTCTCCATCTTCTAAATGGACACCCCGGTCCAGTCACCTCTCGAGAGTTTGAGTATTCTCTTGTGGATTGGAGACCAAAGCAGCTATTTGAAAGTGTAATGCACCTGCTACAGGCACCGATGTCACATGTCACGTTAACCTGGCACCATCCAAGGAGGGTAAACTGGAGAAATCACACCTTTCAACTGTTAATCTGACACTGTAAACAGCAGTAGGGTTCTCATTTACATGGGAGAAGAAAGCACTTTAAACTATTTTAGCAACTTTCCTATGGAAGAAAAAAGATAAGATTCCAAAGGTTAATGGCTAAGTTTTAAACAATTGATCTCCACAGCTACTCAGTTAAGAAATGATACAATTTTTGCCCTTGTGTCCCTTTTTCTTCTTGGATTTAGTTGTCCTCTGACCAAACTGAGGGGTAGGAAGTGCAGAAGTTGGACTAGAAAGGTCATCTGTGTAGTAGGCAAATCTCTGTGGCCGGGGTTGAGGAATTGGTTGTCCAAGAAAATACCCTTCTTCTTCTGAGTCAGAGGAGGAAGTGGAGGAGGAACACCAGGAATCATCATCTTCACCATAGAGCCCCAGAAACCTGTTCATTCCTGGGTTCTGCAGTGCGTAATCAGATGTGGCATGGGCATACTGTCCATAGAGATCAGCATTCTGGATGTATGCTTGGATCTCCCGGGCACTTTTATTCTGTATAAATTTCTCATAGTTATCAGGAGTGTAAAGCCGCAGTCTGTCTTTGGGAGAATATTTTCTTTCTGTGACAAGATTCAGGGCATTATCAGAGCGGGATTTTCTACTTCTCCTGCGGCGATGGTGGTGGGACCTAGATCCCCTCTCTTCAAAATGGTAAACCCGCCTCCGAGTCCTCTCACTCATTGGAGGCTGCCGAATTTCAATGTTGTCATAGCTTCCATTGTCGATGACATCATCCGAAAACTTGACCTGCTGTGGTCTGGATTGAGACTTGGATCTTCGGAGCACTGGCAGATGTACTGGCTTCTCTTCAGGCATGATTTTTTCTGGACACAACTCTGAACTCAGACTTTTTAAGGACTCTGCACTCCTATGTAGCATGGAAGAGTTCAGAGTTCCCATATTGCTCATTTTCTCACAGTCTTCTGCCTCTATCTCCTCGAAGTTTTGTAGAGAATATAGTGATGGCCTAGGCTTGCTTTCTCCATCCACTGAAGCCCCTAGAAGAGGAGCCAAAACAATATATGATTCTCAAAAGCCTAATATTCTGATAACTATTAGAAATACGCTATTGAAAGCAAACATTTCAAAGATTTACAATTGCAATATTTGATTAAAACCCACTAGGAAGGGGATGGGGATTGTAGTTCAGCAGTAGAATGCTTGCCTAGCAGGTCTGAGGTCCTGGGTTTGACCCCAGCACTGCAATTAAACAATCCTACTACGGAAAAACAATATGTATTATTTATCAATTGAAAAGAATATAAATATTGTTAATGATACAAGGGGCAACAACCTCGCTTATGAGCTCTGCTGTTTTGAGCCAAACATTATTTTAGCACATGGCACAAGCAGCAAAAATTTAACAGCTCTTCATTTGTTTATTAACATAAGCTGTGGAAGCTTCTGTTCCTCAATCCATTAAAGCCAAATTGTCTTATTTGAACATCTCTCAAATCATTTCCTTCCTTTACAACCACATGGCCACCATCATGGGAATCTTCCTCATTTTAGACTGGTGTTTGGAAAAGGACAGCCCAACAGCCTGTTTGTGTATATTTTCACTGGAACATAGCCACGCCGATTGTTTACATATTATCTGTGGTTGGCCTAAAAAGACTACCTAGACTATTCAGAAGGTCTGTCCAATCCCTGATCTCAACTTTTAGCCAATCTTCTCTACCTCTGACCCACAAAAGGTGTTATTTCCAACCCCATCTTACTTTAAAACTTCTGCTGGGTGTGGTGGTGCATGCCTATAATCCCAGCAGCTCAGGAGGCTGAGGCAGGAGGATTGTGAGTTCAAAGCCAGCCTCAGCAAAAGCAAGGCATTAAGCAACTCGGTGAGACCCTGTCTCTAAATAAAAATATAATACAGGATTGGGGATGTGGCTAAGTGGTCAAGTGTCCCCGAGTTCAATCCCTGACACCCACCTCTCCACCCTACCCCACCCCACCCCACCCCACCCCCTGCTAAAAAAGAAGAAAGAAAAACTTCTCACAATTGAGATGGATGCCTTTTGTTGTAACAGGACCAAGACTAACAATAGGGAGTGGTGTGGACTGTTGTCAGGTGAAGACTATGTAACTCCCTACTATTTAAAGGAAGCCTGTTTTTCAGGTTGTCAAGGAATGTCAGCCTCTAATTTTTTTTTTTTTTTTTTGAGCAGGTCTTGCCAGTTGCCTAGGCTGGCCTCAAACTTAGAATCCTCCTGCCTCAGTCTCCCACATTATTGAGATTACAGGTTGTGCCACCATGCCCAGCTTGCCCCTAATGTGTTTAATTTTATTTTTGAGTTGCTGGGGATGAAATCCAGGGCCTCGCACATGCTAAGCACATGCTCTACTACTGAGCAACACCCTCAGCTCCTAACTCTTCACGTTGAATCAAATTAGTCTGATTTTGATTTAAAATGTCAAAACACTTAGTACAGGGCCTGGCAGACAGTCTCACCCACCATTCTTCCCTCCCCTTTATTGTAGGCCTCATCCCTGAGCAGTCCACAGAAGCCAGAGAATAACTTCCTCTCATCATCATGTCACTGCATTGCCTGGCTCAGGTCATTCGGACAGCGGGCAGCCACTCGAGCCTTTGCTGGTTGTTTTGCAATAAACCATCTTTATGAAATGACTATGTATCATTAACCTATAAAATTTGCTGCACAAGGACCATATTTCTGTGTCCAAAAACTTGCTGCAAATATGAGGTTGACAATGTGCTGGATCCTAGGTCCAATCTTGTCTTTAGAACCTATGTAATACTAGACATTTAGCATTCTGTTAATTTAAATTTCCTACTGTGCAAAATGGAGTAATATCCATACTCTGTACAACTCGGCATTATTTTAAGGATAAAATGTGGATAATATGAATTTGCTTTGGAAATAGTAAGGTAATATTTTAAATGAGGAAAAAACCACTCAGATCCTTCTGAGCTATCGCTTGCCACAGGGCAATTCAGAAAAAATGTTTAAGACTGTTACAAGCTTATGAAGTGCACAGGCTGATTTTAATATTTTGAAATTCATATAGCACAATCTAATAGTACAGAATCTCTTGGACACAATCCATTTGTAGACTCCCTTATTCAAAAAACCAGTTTTCTCCTCCTTAAAACAGGTAATACCTATCTCAAAAGACAGGGTTAAAAAAATATTTTATACATGCCCACTTACCTGTACAGACACATACTTGTTTGGCTATATAGTGTTCAACATTTAAATGAAATGCCTTCCTTCCTCTGGGCTAAAGATGTTTTATTTTTTTATTTTTCATATTGGGGATTGAACTCCGCTTTACCACTGGCTATCTCCCCAGCCCCCCTTTTTTCTTTTGATACAGGATTTTGTTAAATTGCTCAGACTGGCCTCAAACTTGCAATACTCCTGCCTCAGCCTCCCAAGTCACTGGGGATGAGAGGTGTATACCACTGTATCCAGCGTGTCCAGAGTGTTAAATAATATATCCCCTATGGGTGCTGATCAGCAATGTTTTTGAATAAACATCTTAGTGGTCACTTTTTCAAATAGCCCACAATCCCTAAACGTACCTGTGATATTAGACAAAGCCAAAGAATCCATAGAATCCCGAACACTTTGCTCTGGTTTCAAGTCTGACAAACACTCCAGGGAATCTTCATACCACTGCGTTTGGTCATGATTATATCCTGAAGCACCGTGGTCCAGGTCCAGTTCCTGGAGCCTCCTACTGCTTGCAGGGCCTGGGTGGCTACCATAAGCAGAATCGCCCAGTCCATCTTGTGACTGGGCCCAATACATATCAGACTGGTATTTTTTACTGGCAAGACTCTGATGATTCTGAGTCTTTAACTCGGTCTTGTTTTTCACCATGTTATCAGATATCCAGTGCTCACTGGCTCTAATATCCATCTCACTGGGTTGCTGCTGAAAGAGGCTTTTATCACCAAACTTGAGGAGGAGCTGGGTCATGTAATCTTCATGCTCAGCCCATTCTTCAGGGTCTTCAGGGGTTTCATGCTCTACTCTCCCTTTCCAAAATTCTTCATTGGCAAAATTTGCTCCTTGCCTGGAGAGACTCAGATCATCTAGCTTCCGGGAAAGGGTATCATCAGCATTGCCGGAAAGACCAGGGAACTTGTAGTTCAGAGCAGGGGACAAGAGGAGAGACTGTCTGCACTGATCCGCTGACCGACTGCTTTTACCCATTCGGACACTTCTTCTGGAGTCTCTCGATCGGGCTGATTGGAACGCAGAGTCAGAAGAATCAGAAGCATGGACATCTTCACCGAGGCTGCAGGTTTTTGAGCAATAAATCTGACCTTGTTTGGGAAGGAAGGGGCATCCCAACAGAGAGGCCTTACACTGGGCACAGGAAAAGCATGCTTCTGTGGCATGCCAGTGCTGCCCATCATAGGTCATCTGCGCATGGTCAACACCTGTTTTGAGAAAGGATAGGAAAATTAATGCTTGGAACAAAGGAAGAAGGAAGAAATAGAAGAAATGGCAGACAAGAGAAAGCATCTCAGGTGATGGAAATATTCTGTATCTTGGTCTTGAAAGGGGTGTGGGTTAAGGCAAAATTAATATTGTTTGTAGATTCTGAATTGGTGAATTTCCTTACTCACTAAAAATTTTCTGTACATCCAGAATTGATACCCATCACACTTTCATGGTCTTTCATAGGTATGCAGAATGGAGGAAATTTAAATTGACCAACATGCACACTCCTAGCTGAGCTCAAACAAAAGGATGCTCTGTAGTTGGTTGCAGTTCCCATACTATAAAAAAGTGTTCTATTCGTGGTCTATTTAATGCCATAATTTTACTATTTAAAATGGCCTCTAACTATAATGCTGAAATGCTGTCTATGCTCCCAGGTGCAAGACTGTGATATGCCTTTCGATATACTTTACAGAGAAAACACATGTATTGGATAAGCTTCTAACCATGAGTGACAATGCTACTGGCTGTGAGTTTGAGGTTAATCCACTACCAGTGTATATTCAAAGTGGCTTTAACCTAAAGTGCACATGAAATGAGGTTTTGTATCGATAGGTAGGTTAATGAAAATGTGGCTGGGGTTGTAGTTGAGTGGTAGAGCACTTGCCTAGCAATGGGAGCCCTTGGGCTTGATCCCCAGCACCAGGCAGGTGTCATGATCGGAGGTTCACAGGAACCTTAACCCTACATTTCTCTGAGGAGCAATGGTTCAATATGCACTAATTTAATGTTCACAACTGTGATTAATGAGAATTGACTACATATCCATTTGTCAAAGTTCATCAAACTAATACATTTAAGATCTGTATGTTTAGCTACATGTAAATTGTACCTCAATTTAAAAAAACAAAATACATGGATAAACAAGACTGTGGAAAATTGTAAATGACCAATGGCTACGTGACAGGGCAGAAGGCTGGGCTGTAGACTTACCAATATGTTCCCCGCAGGTTTCACAGTACTCTGCATAGAGAGACTCAAAACAGCCACAGCAGAAGGGGCGGCCATCCTTCATGATGTACCTCTGTCCTCCCAGGATCGTTTCACACTCGAGGCAGCAGAAGTGCTTCATGTGCCAATGGCGACCCTCTGCTTCTGTGCACTCATCAGCAAAAATGATCTGTAAAGAGAAACGTGGAACAATAGAACAAAAGAAAATCAGCATGACCTGTTTACAAGGCCAGGTAACCGTATGTTTTCTGGGCCACAGACAGACACTGCCTCTTAAATCAAATAACTAACCTTGTTTCTTACAGCCTCTAGCTTAAATTTAACTTGGTTTAGCTACACAACAAGAGCACAAACACAGGGCTGAAAAGAGATGCTAAACAAATCCTTGCTTAAGCTTGAAAAAATTTTTTCTATTTCTACATTGTAGGTAAATCACTTCATTGTATTTTTGCTCCCTAGTAACACTTTGGTGACATAATCTGGCAAAGAACATCTTACCATTGAAATGATTTAGTGGTCTGAGGGGAAGCAGGTGTGGGGATTGAGCCCAGGGTCCTTTACCACTGAAATACATCTGCAGCCGTTTTAAATTTTGAGATAGGACCTTGCTAAGTTGCTAAGGCTGGCCTGTAACTTGTGATCCTCCTACCTTAGCCTCCTAAGTCACATAGATTATAGGTGTGTGCCACCATGCCTGGCTGTGTGAGTCAATAGAAGACTCATCATACAAGTGTCTGTAGGGGCTACACAGGTGCTGGGTTTGTGTGAATGGCACGTGTGTAGATAATCTGGAGGTGGCCACTGAGTCAAGTGAAGCATTAAGGACATTTTTTGATACTTAAAAAAAATGTTCAAATAGCACATTATTGGAAAAAATAAATGTATAAAAGGAAAAACTGAAAGTTTACTGTCATAGATTGAAGAAGACCAAGGAGAAGATACAATGAAATAAATGCAACAAGCCACCCTGGATTGGATCTTGGAATGCAAAGGGACATTTGTAGAAAAGCTGGGAAATCTAAAGTCTGGTTTAGCTACTGGTATTATGCCAATGTTAATCTCTTAGCTTTGATTTTATATATACATATATATATATGTATATATATATATGTACATATATATATGTACGTGTGTATTTATATATCATGGCTGTGTAATATGTTAGCATCAGGAGGAGAAGGGTATACAGGAACTCTCTATAGTACCTTTTCAACTTTTCTATAAATTTCAAAAAGCTTAAGAAATTTTCTTTCACACCATCATCCATTCCAACATGCCTCAGAGAGCCACTATTAATTTGGTATATGTCTTTCTATAACTTTTCTGACTGTATACAAATATGTATATTATGTTGCCCACCCCTATATTTAACAAAAATGAGATCATCTGCAACTTGTTTTTTTCCCCCCCATCATCAAGGTCACCACACTTAGGAAAGCCCAGAGACACCTGCTGCCCTCTCTTTATTAGCTGTGTGTTATCCCATTGTATGAGTGTACAGGGTTCTCAATATACACACAGAACACACACCAGGATACATATTTTGCTTAGGTATAAGCAGTGGAATACTGGTTTGCTACCAGCTATTTTTTCCAGCATTCAGGGACCAACTTTTTTACCTCATCACATGCTGAGCACCGTGGTTTGAGTAGCTCCGCATGGTGCCTGCCACAGTGAATTTTTCCATCCTGATAAAAATAGATGAGGTCGACCAGCAGCTCATTACACGTGAAGCAGACAAAGCAGGATGGGTGCCAGCACACTCCAGGGCCCGCACGGGAGGCAAACACTGCAACTTCCCCTCCGTTTATCTTCAACCCACACTGAAAACAAAAAATGTGAATGTAAAATGACTCTTATTAAAAACAACTTCATCATGAACCCTAAACTCATCAGGAAAGCTTTTATTTTGGTCTTCTCCTGTTAGAGATTAAATGGCTCTTCAATACTGGATTACTTGCGATTCTCAACTGTGATGAACATGCCTCAGATACACTACTACACACGACTGTTCGTTCCTAAGTACGGTTTAATCGGATCCACATTTAACAGTGGTTTTCCTGAGCCAGCCTCCTGCTGGATACATTTCCTACTCTGAGAACTGCCAGTTAAGATTTGAATGTCTTCATTATGTTTCTGCATTTTTCAAATACTAGTTTTGTCCTAGAACCTCCCCCCATGCCAGGATGCTATGCAAGGCCCGATTTCACTCAATGTTTACATATGGGTGGACTGACTGCCACTGTCATACATAGCAGTGCAGCCAATATGAATTACTGTGGAATACAAAGCTAGGTTGTCTATCTTTCTGTTGTATTTTGGAGGCTATTAGGGTGCACACCTTGTACTAACTGTCACCTATCCCAGCTCACTCTACCCACATCACCTCCACCAGCCATCACCCTAGAAAGAGTTACCTGCTCACATACGGCATGCATCACTGCTCTGGACAAAAGCTTAATCGTTCCTCTTCCAAGTGCTTCTTTCTTCCGCTGAGCACTGAACACCTGCAATTCTTTTTTCTCCTCTTCACTCAAAGATTGGCAGTACCGCACCTTCACAGAAAGCAAAACAGAATCCCACACTGGACTACACAGTCTTCTTCGCCCATTCTTTATATCCAGAGTTAGAGTTTCAGGAAATGAAACGGCAGGTTTACCAGCCCTGTCTTGCAAATCCCCAGTTTTAAAATGACACCATGCCTAAATCTTGCAGCCTCTCTAGAAAAAGGGAAAGTCAACCTGAAGAAATAGTCTTGTTTTACTTTTCTTTGTTTTCTAAATGAGAAATTTAAATCCTTATCAGCAAGAGACATTGAAAAAAAGTAAGGCATTAACCTTTCCAAAAAAGGTTTAAACTTGTTAATTGTCACTTTCACTCCACATTCTACAGGCACTCAACTGACTCAGGCCTGAACTACCATAAAGCATTTACCCTGGATGCAGGGGTAAGGAAAATCTCAGGAATTTGTAGGAATTTGGTGGGTGGCTGCAAACACTATAAAAACCAACCTGTGTTGGTTAAGTTTATTGCACTCATCCTCTTTTCTTACAGAATGGGAAGCTGTATTCTCAGGCCAAATTTTAACTGATCAAAGACCCCAGAGAGGCCTAGCCAGTGAGAAGCTGGGATATTGAGAGGCATCTCCATGTTTATTGTATATTTTCTTTTTTTCTAATTAGCTTTCTTTCTGTTATTTTACCTCATTATCATGTGGTGGCAACTGGTACAAAAGCTGTTTAATCCGATGTTTCTCTCCAGGGCTGTTAACATAAGGAACCTTTTCCTCTGGCAAGCACGCAAAATAGAGCTGGATCTGTGTAAGTGACAAAGAATGACATCAGTACACAGAAACTGTATGTCTTAGCTGGCTCAGTCTTTAAGTTACCTTTCCCTCAATACAAGGTTTGGCCTCTTGGAGCTAATGAGAAGACCAGCTGAGCCAACTCAGCAGAACTGCAAACCTTCAGATAACTAGCATCCAGCTGCTAAATTGCTGTTCAGGAATGCAATTTGTAGTGACAATTAGGAGCATCATAAATTATACACCATAAAAAATCCACATTTACTGTTACTATTCCTCAGTCAGTTCCAAGGGTCAGCCAAGGGATCAGCTGAGAGTCTGGGGTAAATTCTGCAGATGACTACATGGGCTATGTGACACTGTCCAATATCCAGCCACTATACAAACATTTAACTTGCTCTCTGCATCTTGTTACACATCACATTGCAGACTCTGATCAGGTTCTTTGAAGCATCTGCATCCTTAACTTCCATGGATGCTATTTTCTAAATATCTGGAATCAATCTTTCCAAGGAAATTGGAGACGAGCCATGCTGAACTATATTTAGTTCACTTTGAAAGGAGAACTTAATATTTGGTTTTTCTATTGTCTTTAAATAAGGAACATCCCTTAATGAGTACTGCAAAGGATACTGCAATGCTGAGAAGGAATGAAAATGATCCAAGGAAGAAAGATTAGGGCACATGGGACCTCTCTGTTTAGAAATCAATATCACACAAAACCTACCCACTCTGAGATTTAAGAAGGGGACTTTGTCAATGTATTGCTTCCCTAAGTGTGGTGCTAGCACTGTATCTTCTCCACATTGTATCAGCTCTAGAAGCTTTCACAGTTACAGACCCTTATTGAATAGCAGCTGCATGTGCCCTAGCTGCTGTGCAGGGCCCTGGATGAACAAGGACTCTCTGCTCTCAAAGGAGTTCCCACCATAAAGGAAATGGAACTATAACTCAGAAGCAAATGTACACTTGTCATCTTTTATTTCAAAGGATGTTTTTGCCCTCATAATAATATCTATCACCAGTGATTTTTTTCAAAAAGTTCATCATTATAAGGATATTGGGAAAATAAAAATAGGCATACAGATGGTTATCTTTCTTAAAATAATACAAAGCACAAAATTAACTCCTTAATTTTTTTTTTCCCCAATTACTCAGTCTGGTGAAAGACTCTTAAAAGTGAAGTTATCACAGGTTGAATTTCTAGACAGTACCCCTTCCGGTGGATTCTTATAGCTCGGCATCTCTCTTCCACAGCAAAGGCATTACTGACATCTAGCCTGGAAACTTTCCTTTTATTATCTTTTTGTTGTCACTGAAGTTTTAAAAAATGTAAATTCCTCTCTCTGAAGAGTGAGTGGATTTCATCAGAAACCCACATTACAAAGGCACACAGATGCAGGATGTGAGATTTCATCTATCATGAAGGCAAAAACTGCATCGCTGTGGGGTGACTGGATCCATGGGTGTAAAGAGATGGAAAACTTTCCTGGAGGAACTAAATAAGACCTTAAAAAGCAAAACTTCAAAGTCATCCAAAGAGGTGTGAGGGAACTGAGGGAAAGTGGTATGTCAGTGTTACTGCAAAAACACAACAAAACAATGCTCTAAAGTCTTAAGTCACATTGAAAAACAAAGCAGAAAATCATACTATTGGGTTCCTACCTGCTCTGGTCTGAGGCCTGGGGGCACCCAGGCATACTCCTCCAGTGCACAGCCAGAATCGTCATCTGAGGTGGAACTTCTCTGACAACCGAAAGCCAGTTTGCTCATTTTGGACTCCATCTCCAAAGGCATAATAATAAAGTTAAAAACCTGATCTCTCAGTCAAAGGACATCCAATAATGGCTCCTGTGGACAACACAAGAAAAAAAACAAAGAAATTAAAAACCTGAATGCATTATACTAGCCATCTCCAAGAGCTTTTATTGAATGCTTGTTTGCACACAGCTGGACCCAGAGAAAGTAATCAAATTTCTAGTGTCACCACCCTCCAATGCCCAGGACTATACAATTTGAAAATAGCCCCCTGAGTAGCTCAATATCTCAAAAATGCCTCCAAACCTAGTTTATTTCCAGTCACTTTAAAAAGGCACCTCTCTACACATCAATTTATTGGGAAAAGGACTCAAGAAAATTGTTTTGTTGATTTTCTAACTTGCCTACAAATGAAATTCCCGTAAAGTCCTAGTAGTTGTAGGAAGAAGTGTGAGGAACGGGGCCACCTGCTTTGTCTGCTATTCTGCCCCATGAAAAATGGCTGCAGAGACCCCCACCCCTGTCTCAGTTCCCCCATGTTTCCTAAGCAGTTTTCCCGCTGAGACAGTGCTGCCTGCTGGGAGTGGGTCCCCTGGGCCAAACTGCTTAGCTTTCAGACTTCTAATCATGACACTAAACTTAGTTTACACACTAAATAGAAATAGCACAGTTAAATCCCGATATAGCACATTAAATCCTCAAGCTTTTACTAAGGGCTCAAGTCAGCCAGACATTCATCAATGAGTTCCTTCAACAAACAGTAATTGGATACAGCACTAGGCTAAAATAAATTCCAGCTTGGTGACTATTAATGTTTAATTGCATTATAAGCCAGCATTTATTAAAGAGTTATGCAGCACCTACTATGTGTGAAATGCCATCAGCCCACTATTGGGCAAAGTAAGATGTTAAATCCTTTGTAAAGCCACCCCAGATGAAGGGCAGTAAAGGTGTCAGGACCATATTCCCTGCCCCAGGACCATGCATTGTCTTTATTAAGTGTGTTTTAATTCTTAAGAATCGTGCTTCACTCAAGGACCTAAGAAAAAAAGAAATGTCAGGCCTTTTAGAACCAGATAGTTCTTTTTATACCTGCCTCCTCCCCACAAAAATGATGTAAAAAAAGAAACTTGTAATTAGTGTAACCCAATCATTTTAGAGAAAAGGGTCAAGAAGTGACCTGCCCAAAGTCACCCAGCTAAGGACCTGAATCAGACTTCCAAAAGTTCTTCTGCCTTACTAAATATTCTCATTTGCTTCAACGTGGAAAAGGCAATGGAAAACTAAATAATTTCAGCCCAAGACAAGGTCATTTTTCCGCAGCTTGATGCAACCCAGTTAATATCAGAGAACGTCACTACCAACACCTGACTGTAGAAAGTGTCGTTTTCTTTTTATAAATCAAAAAACATTAAAAAATTAAAATTTTAATAGTTCACAAGCAGAAGTCTAACCCTGAAATCTCATGGCTACAATCTTTACTAGCAGTAGGAACAATGCCACCCAGTAGGTATTATTCGAACAGATAAATTTAACTTTCATTCACCCTGAACAAAAATTAAAGAAGACCTCATTTCCTACACTATCACTGGGAGGGAGGTGACCCTTTGCACAGGTGCATTCCTTCCCATCCTGACTTAGGAAAGGCTTTCTAAGCACAGGTGTGCTCCCCAGCTCCTCAATAAAAAAGGATGTGCTCATCAAAGTCAGAAATGTCTTCGATCTAAGTCTTTCTTCTTTGCTTTAAAAAAAGCAACCCCCACATGTCAAAGAAAGGGAACTAGAGGTTAAGACTTTCATTAGTAACTCAAAAACCCCCACCAGGAGAACCAGTGCCTTCGATGCAATTTGACCTGAATCGTGAATGAAATATGAGCACTTGTCCCTTGCCAAATCTGGCTGGGGAGGAGACACCACATTATGTACTCTGCAGTCTTACAAAGGACATAAATATTAAATAGAACCTAAAAATTAAATGTCATTATATTATAAAATAAGAGCAAACATCACAAATTATGACAAACCATGGATTTTTCCAAGCTAGCACAAAGATACAGAATTGCTACAGAGATGAATTACTTTTACAGCTGTACTCCTTGATGAGCCTTTTGTGAAAAAATGTAGAGTAAATTACTATCCTAATCAAGGTAAATCAATGTTAGCACTAAGTGCCACCCACCATCCTCCTCCCCTCTCAATCACCTGGACGTGCTGGCCATATCTCAAACCTGTAACTCATTTCATCCGAGCCTTTTAACAAACTACCCTGAGCATGGATTCACTAACAATGTGAAGAATACAACCTTAGGAACGTAAGTGACAAAATGATTTTTATCATAAACATGGCTTTTGGTTTTATTTGGTAGCACTCTGATTTATTTAATCCTTTGTGCATAGCCAGGTACTATTACTGTTATAGTAGTTAATAACGTATCAAGCAATCCAGAGTAGGTAGTATCTCACTTAACAGATAAGGAAACAGTCTCAGAGTGATTTGCCTCAGGGTAAATTGTCCAAGTTCAGAAAGTGAACAAGCTATTGTGTTTGGACCCGTTTGCTGTAATTCCTGAGATCACGACCCACTATGGCCCCACACTGCCTCTGAGGGACAGAAGCTGATCAGGCCAAGTTACTTTCTTGGTGAACTAATCGTGACAACTACATAGCAGACACACAAAATGATCCAACTGGAAAGGAGACAGTCTATTCACCCATAGAAAGTGAAGGAAAGCCCAGTAAAATGATAGAAATTCA